GAATTGTTTCTTAATTTTGTTCTCATATAACAGAGAAAAAGCTTCATGTACCATCAAAAAAACAAGTACCATCAAAACAGTTTTTTATATCAAAAGATAAAAATTACGCAGGAAATCAGAGATTTTTTTGATGGTACTTGAAGCGTTTTCTCTGTTATATGAGAACAAAATTAAGAAACAATTCAACCTAACAAGATATATGCAGTCTTTTATGCTCTATCCAATGGTGTCAATTTTAATAAGCTACGATGTTGCCCTTCTTTTGAAAATTCATTTTTTCTAGATCAGAGGTGAAAAAGTCGGAATTCTACCCGTAATTCTCAATTTGCCTCATCATACCTTAACGTCTGAGCAGTAAAAATATCATATTCGGAGTCAGGATCGAAAACTGAGTCGATTGATGTGTATTTCGAAATTTCTAGTTCATTTTTATTTTTTGGTGAAAATCTCGATGACTACCATGACTGAAAAGTCCTGCTATTGAAATACTACTTTAAGAACTGATTGCGCTCTCCAGTTAGCATAAAAAGTATAACTTCACCTAATGTTTGGACAACATACTACATTCTACGACCAGAATTATTTCTGGACCATCGTTCTACTAATTCTTGAGTATTCATAGCATCTACAAATACTGTTACATAAAACTGTTACAATGACGTTTAAACTTTCTGACTAGAACCGATTTAAGACACAGAGGACATTTGCCTGACAAATTATTTGACATATTCTGTCAAGAAGTATCTAACTTTTGTACGGAGAATGAATTTGTTAAGTGTCAAATAAAACAGCCAAAAAAAAGACCCGTTTTAATTATTTGTGAAAATGTTGAATCAACAGAAAATATTTAGAATGAACTTATTCGACATAGTGTACCTCATCATACCATAAAAAAATATAGAAGAGATGGTGATAATGTTGAAGAGAGATTTCGGAAAAAACCTGCTACAATAGGTGATATTATTATTGCAACGAATAAAGGTGGAAGAGGTACTGATATTCATGTAGATCCACCAGTTAATAAAGCTGGAGGAATGCATGTTATTTTAAGTTATTTACCAGAAAATGTTCGAGTAGAAGAACAAGCTTTTGGTAGAACAGCTAGAAATGGAGCACAAGATACTGGACAATTTATTTTATTAGTAGATAAATCTATTTATGAAGAAATGTATGATTTAAATCAATATACTAATGAAGAAAAACAAAATAAATTAGAAAATTTAGCAGATGCTATTATTAAAAAAGGAAAAATTCTTAGAGATAATAAAGAAGCAGCTCGATTATCAGAATTAAAACAAAAAAATATTCTTCATCTTGTTAGGTCATGGGACCTAAAACGTGACTACTGTTATGTAGAAGAAAAGTCCTCACGTTTGTCATCACGTTTTCACGTTCTTATATGGTATGATACTCTCCTCATTTTGTGACATTCTTATATGGTTCGATATTCTTATCTTTGTATGGTACGATTTTCTTCTCGTATATATACGACTGTATTTTATGTGTTAATGTATGCTTTTTTTGATTTATTAAATAAATCATCTGTATATACAAATAAGTTTCGAACAAGTTAGATGAAGCCTAACAACTGGTGACAGCAGTACTTGCTGTGAAAATTACACTATCACAACAAGACGAACTCGACGTTACAAGTGGCTATTTGTGGATATTTAACATTTTAAGGGACATTTTACAAAGCTGACATATTAGAGAGTGAGAAAAAACTTGTTATTAGCACTCGACGTGGTACAGCAACAGTATCAATTGATAAAGACGTTGAACAAATAGCATTTGATGTTAAATTAATTCATTCAGTTACGTTGGGTCCACTTCAAGAATGTGATGTTGATGTCAAAGCACCATTTTCAACGGCGGACCCAGCTATATTTTATCCGAAACAACAGTTACAACAAAACAAACTTGTATTAATGCCTAACGCCTTATTAAAAATTAAACATTACAAATCCACATTAACGATGATTAACTTAAGTAACTATCCAACAGTTATTCCGAGAAATACAAGATTAGGTGTTATTACATATGCAAATCCAAATATTCAATGTTTTGTATTAGCTCCACAATCATCATTCAACAGTCAACAGCCATCTAATGCTCAACAATGGTCATCCAATGTTCAACAGCATCGATCTTTAACATCAAATGACACTGACATCACTATTAAGAATTTAATTAATCACTTAACCCCACAAGAACAAGAAGAAGTTTATCCAATATTATTGAAACATCAGACTTTATTTGATTTAACAAAAAGAAAGATCGCAAACACGCACATTAAACATGTAATCCGCACAACTGATCATCCACCAATTAGCTCAAGTCCTTTTCCAAGAACCCTCCACCAACAACAAGCATTATCAGAGCATATTCACCAAATGGAAAAGGATCATCTTATTAGACGTTCCACATCACCATGGGCATCTCCAGTGGTATCGGTTAAGAAACCAGATGGATCAACCAGATTCTGCGTAGATTATCGAAAGATTAATAAGATTACCAAAAAAGATTCTTATACTTTACCCCATATGGGAGAAACGATTAATCGGTCAGGTGACCACAAATATTTTTCAAAATTAGATCTTAAATCTGGCTATTTTCAAATCAAAAACTAATGTGAGATTCGTAATCAGAGCCAAAAACTGCATCTAGTGATATGCTCCTCTCAGTTCTACTCTAAAATAATTTTTTCAAAAACTTGACCAGCGAAGTCTCGAGTGAACAAGCCGCG